GATCGATATTTGCTCTGGTCTGCTTTGTGGCATCCCTGGTCGGACTTTTGGTGGTTAAGAAGGTTATAGCCAAGTATGGGAGGGCTTCGATCATTGTGTTTGCCGTTGGTATCGTCATGGCACTTAGCACTGTACTGATGACGACCCATGGAGCTCTTAATGTTTGGAATGATTTTGTCTCTGGTGGCTACATGGGTTTCAAATTACCCTGTTAAGAACCAAAATTAAATAAAACCAGTTCTTTACATGTTCCTTACTTTCAAGTACTTTCAACCCAACCTACCTAGCAAGTAACATCTACTATAATGCAGTTAACATCAGGCTACCATTGCTACTCTATGTACCGTTCCTTGATATGATGATCACAACAAGAAAGCAGTAGCCATGAATGCTTAATGGCCCATTCATTCTCCATCTTGATTCTTACCACGTACTACATTTACAACCCCATGGCTTTGAGGGAAGGAATATGCTTCATGCTTGATCGTGGTGGTGATAGAATCTGCTATGTTCAGTTCCCTCAGAAAGTTTGAAGGTATCGACTCGAGTGATCGTTATGCAAACCACAACACTATCTTCTTTCATGTTGGTATGAGAGCTTTAGATGGAATTCAAGGTCCAATGTACGTTGGATCTTCCGCCAATAGCAACAGAGCATCATGGCTGGCTTGGAAGAAAAAAATGTAAAGATATCTCTAAGGAAATCAAAAGCTTTGATGAGATCTCTTTGCCTATGAATGAAGAATACAATGAAGAAGATAAATGATGATGGATATAGTGAATCTCTACTGCTTCCAAAGAGATTTGGTAACTCAAACACTTCTGTTGCTTCGATTCCGGTAGCTGAATACCAAGGGAGGCTCTTACAGGACTTGCAAGGCAAAGCCAAGCTAGCAATCTCTAATACTGTAATAACAATAAAAAGTGTTTTGTAGCATAACATTATGTGAACGATTTAAGTGTCACAAACCAAGTCTTTTAGACTAAGTCGTATACTAAATGTCACACCTGAGATTTTCAGTGTCTGCAGATTCTGTCTGAAAGTAAAACAGAACTTGTTTTTATTAAAATTTACACTTACACTTGAAATTTCACACAAACCATATTCCAAAGTCACAAACTAATTACACTTCACACAAACTTTATTTAGTATTCTGCTCTTATCTATATATCTCTCTTAAGCAATATTAACAACGCGTGAGGACTGAACGAAACCATCGACCCTTTTCTTGATCTCATCAGGGTTTGCGCCCACGATTTTGTCCATCGTATTACCATCTTTCAAGAACAAGAAAGTTGGCATCGCCTTTACCTCTAGTTGACTTGCCACTTCCTGTCCAATCCAACATAGTAAAAACAGAGAAAAAAACATTAATCATCTACCAGTTTAGCAGTTGTTCAATTCCTTTATTCTTGATGGTTAAACACTTCTCTTTACCAGAGTCATGATCAAAGTCACATAAAGCAGAGACATATAAGTAGTTTTACCTTAACTTCATCAACATCAACTATGAGAAATAGAGCATCCTTATAGCTAAACGCAAGCTCTTCGAAGAACGAGTTCATAAACACCGAAGGAATACACCATGATGCAGTGAAATGAGCCACAATCTGCAAAAACCATCAACGAACAACTTTTCTTGGTAATTCATATAAACAAACAAAACAGAGAGCCGTTCATTATTTCATTTCACAATCCTCAACATTCAATATTAATTGGTCCATTCTCAATAGTCCAAATTTAACCAAAATCTCCTTATAACTCTTATGCTAAAACCTTGATTCTTGAATGAGCCTGGATCTAAAACAGATTTCATTTGGCTATGAATTTTTCTCCTGGAAAAACAGGAAGTAATAAGAGGAAGAGAGACTTACAGGACAATTCTGATTCTTGGCTTGACTCACATAAAAGTTCCATGACTCTGCAGAATCGATTTTAACAACTCTTGCCATCTCTTGGAGCTTTTTTAAAGAAAATATCTACTTTACTTTACTTAATTTAGTTTCTTTGTTTCTCATGATTCGGTGATTCAGTGTTTATCTACTTGTATGAGTCATACATAAAAGTGTGGCCCAGTAACTTTGAGCGATTTTTGAAACATTAATTTCATATTTAACATATTAAGAATAAACGTTACCAAGAAAGAGATATTAAGAGAGAAGCAAAAAAAAGATATTTTTTTGTTAATCATTTTTAACGACTTTATGCAATGTTACAAGTCAGAATAATAGAAGATTGAATTAATTTAAATTATGCAGAAAGACAAAATCCTTCAACATTGAAATATCAAATTTACACAATTATGAAATCACGTGTCTAACAAATTACAAAATTGGCGATCTAATATTTCTTTATAATTCGTGAAAAGTAATTGGCCAATTTAGAAAATTTCCCGTTTTTTAAAGAAAGAAATCGGAAATCTAAACGTCATTAAATGAGAAGAAAAAGAATTAAATGAAAATATTGGAAAACAGAGAGACACATTGTTCACTATATAAAGGAACCTAAAGAAGTCGTGAAGTCATACAAAATCTCAACTTCAACCTCTAAATCACATCGAAAGTCACATAAACCCTAAATCAATGTCTAGGAAACGTTTCAATCCGTTAGAAGATCCGCCGGCGGCTTCATCAAGCGACGAAGATGATTTGGAGACTTCAATGGGAGAAGGTGAAGAAGATATCGCACGAAACTCTACGTCGGAGGAAGAAGATGATGTTTCTTCTAAAAATCCAGCAGCTTTGAAGAACACAGTACTTCTCCTCGCCGCCCCAACTGAGAAGCTAGTTTCCGATCCCGAATCTGGATCCGATGAAGAAACCGATACAGACTCCGAACCAGAGAAGAAAGATCAAGTTGTGACTAAGCGTTCTCGTGAGACAGATGAAGCAGCAGCGTCTACAGATGTGAAGAGGGCTAAGAAAACTTATTTTCAGCGACTTTGGACGGAGGATGATGAGATTGCGGTTTTACAAGGTCTTGTTGATTACATAAAAGATACTGGGGTAAGTCCTTATGATGATACAAATAAGGTTTATCAGTTGGTGAAGAAATCTATTAGCTTTGATGTTAGTAAGATTCAGTTTATGGAAAAGCTTAGGAGTTTAAAGAAGAAGTATGAGAACAATCTTGGTAAAGCCAAGGAAGGTGATGAACCTATATTTGTTAAACCTCATGATCGCAAGGCTTTTGAATTGTCTAAGTTAGTTTGGGGAGGTATTAGAATGGTTCTTCAATCGGGTATGAAATCTAATGGGAAGTCGAAGAAGAGCAGTAAGTCGAAGAAAGTTGAGTCTGTGAAGCATGAGTTTGATTGTGAAGACGATGTGACTAATAAAGGAGAAGCATCTTTGGTTGGTGCTTTGGAAATGGATACGCTTGTGAAGTCTTCTCTTGCTAGATCGATAGCGCGTTTTGGTCTGGATCAACTTGTTGCTCAACAAGGATTGAGTTTGCTTTCCTCGGAGGATAAGAAGAGATTCGAGGTGCAGTGGAAAGCGTTGCAGTTGAGGGAATTCGAGTTTTTATCGCAGAAGAGTTGTTTTCTTCATAAAGTGGTAAAAAAGATGACTGAAGTATCCCGATCAAACGCTTAGATATGTCTATGGATTTTTGTTTTTGGTTCTGTCTCTTATGCCTAGAACTCGGCTTTCTTTTTTCATTTTAGTTTCTATTGATTCTTAAAAGAGTTCATTTTGGAATATTGCGGATTTATCAATATAATGGAAGGAAGCTTTTAGCTAAGTGAAGCAATTTAAGTTTATTTACAGATGAAACATTTTGTGTATCTTGGTGTAGAAGACGTGTTATGCACGGCTTCTGTTTGATGGATTTTCTTGTTGCGCATTCTCTTTGTCTTCTTTTTTAGCAGCAATTGCTGAAACATAATATGCTGAAGTCACCACTCCATGTCCTAGACAAAATATGCCTCCAATAAGAAAAAACCAACGATGTGGCAAGCTGCAGAATCGATTCGATCTCGAGTTGCCCAATGTTCCTATCATCAGCGTTGAGTAGCTGACACCAAAAAAGATCCTAAGACAAACAAAGGTATGTCAAAAACAAAAACAGTTGACAGAATTCAAAACTGTGTTGAATGAAATCCGAAATGTTTTTTATCTTTTCCATTACCAGGAGAGAACAAGGAAAGCCATAGCGAGTATCTTGTTTGCAGTTGCTCTGTTGAAATCTTGCTTAGAGCGAATGTAAGTGCAGCCTCCAAGCACATTGGCTAGGACATGGACAATAGACAGAAGCACCATTGCAGCTACTCCCTCAGCAAAAGCTTCAGCGCTGGGGTTTCTTCGACATCCAGAATCCGAATGTCTTAAATGCTGTTGATGATGATGATGAGGTGCCTGAAGGAGAAACATCAAATACAAAAAAAAGATTATTGGTAATGAAAATAAACTACATTTCACTCTTATTATAAACAGAACCTTGCTTTGAGCAATCTCTGCTTCGATCCCGAGGACTGTAGCTGTAATGTCTGCACATATGATCACAACAGAAACCAAGAACCCAAGTTCACTTTCCATTTTTCCTTGATTCATAATAAAAACATTATAATTTATATTTTGATTACTGTATTTATTTCAATTGTTCTATGAAAGTTTAAGGAAGAGGAAAAGAATAAAGAAACAGCATCAGATTACTTTCCTAAGCCTTCCTCTCACTGCAAGACAAAAGAAGAGAGATTCGGTTTTGGTCTTTCCAAGTAAGTAAAGTTTCATTCTTGTTCTCTTTTTAATACTTTTGTTTTGGATGCGTTTCTTGTTAACTAGATTTAAAATGTAAATGAAATAAATCTCTTACATAAGATATAAGTTTCAGATTGAAATAAGAGGTTGATCACATGTTTGACTTTTTCACTTTAAAAATGTCAAAGCTCAATAGAGGCAGCATGTGGCCTTATACTCTGTTTTGGAACGTGAAGAGAGGTGAAAAAATATTATTCCCATATCTTTTTTTTCTGTAATCATATATGCTAAATTATTATTATAATTTTCCAGGTTGTAATTGGAAAAGAATCATACATGGTTAAGATTTGATCAGTTTTTTTAACATAAACGTCAAATTTAGTTGTAAATTTTCTATTTCTAAAAACGATTTTTTAGTTTGTTCTTTCATGGTGCGATATGATATCATACGCTTATGGAAATATCCAGTGTCATTTTGGAAACAGTTTGTGTGGAAATGGTGAAGCAGGAAGAGACAGAAACAGAGCCGTGTCTGAACCAAAGCCAAATCTCCATAGAATCTCTTTATAATTCACATCTCTCCCAGTGAATCCAAAGACGGATCTTGAACAAACATGCGTGGAGTTTGGCTTTATCTCAAGAAGTCTCTTAGCTGCTGCAGTGCACAGAAGTCAACTGTCGCTTGTGATCGAGACAAGAACCAAATTCAGAAGAATCCATCTGGATCCTCAAGATCAATGTCAAATCTGAGAGATGTTTTTGGAACTAATGAAGATGAAGGAGCTATGCAGAATCCAAGCTGCTGCAGCTCACGGTCTCTGGAGAGCTCCAGGTTTACAAACACTATGAAGTTTGAGGGGAATGCCAGTTATTCAGACAGATTCAAAGGTTTGATCAGCGGAGCATCTTCATCTGATTTACTTCCCGGTCGTTGTTCAGAGAGATTTGATGTTGTTGGCTCTGACATCTGCGGTTTCGGAGTTCTTGCTTGTCGAAAATGTCATGAGAGAGTCAGAGATCTTGACGCGTTTGAGGCCCATTACCTCTCTAACCACTCTGGTAAGATAACTTTTTCATCGACTTTTAGTCAACGTTTTGAAGGGAATTTGATTTATTTTATCTTTTTGCAGTTATTAGACTCTTAGCAGGAGATTTCTCAAGAACAACTGTTGAGTTAATCTGCAATACAGGCTTTTCTCACAAGCTTGGCAAAACAAAAGGGAACAACATTTCGGCGATCTTGAAAATACAAAGTTTGCAAAGAGTTGTTGCAGAGTTTGAAGATTACAGAGAACTTGTGAAAATAAGAGCGAACAAGCTTTCAAAGAAACACTCTCGATGTATGGCTGATGGGAACGAGTTTCTTGGGTTCCACGGTACAAGTCTTTCTTGCGCTCACGGTTTGAGTAACAGCTCTTCAAACCTCTGTTTCTCAGATCAATGTGGAGTTTGTCATATTCTAAGACATGGATTCAGTCCTAAAACAAGACCAGATGGGATTAAAGGGGTTCTCACAGCATCATCAAGCTCTGCAGCTCTTAAAACTATCGAAACCGATCAAGGAAGAAACAGAGGTTCATTGAAAGCTGTTGTGCTATGTAGAGTTATTGCAGGTAGGGTTCATAAACCTATGCAGAAGTTTGAAGATCCTTTAGGGTTTTCTGAGTTTGATTCATTGGCTTTGAAAGTGGGACCAAATTCTAGAATTGAAGAGCTTTATCTATTGAGTAATAAAGCTTTGTTACCTTGCTTTGTTATAATCTTCAAGCCTTGAAACAAGCCCGTGTATGCAAAATTTATTCTTTAGTTTTTTGTATAGTTTTCTCTTCTTCTTTTTTTCTTGCAAAATTTGGTGGGCCTGTAATAGGTTAAAAATGTTGGGCTTTCCCCAGAATTGGAAGATGGAAAACTTGGTGGACAAGTCTATGCCTAGCCTCTGTACTCAAAGGGTGAAAAAGATTGTGAGTGTTAGTGCTATCATTTTCTTCAATTAGGTTTTCTTTGATTAGCTCTTCGCTAAGAATACTCATGTCTCCTCTGCTTCTGAGCCGGCCTTCAGTGTTCTCCCTCCGGAAACCTCTGTTTGTAAGATACTACTATTCTCTTCTCTCCCCAATCACACTTTGTTCTCTTTTTTTTTTTTTTTTTTTAATTGTTCTGCTGATGTGAGATCACTACAATTACTCAGAGACACCCTAGTGTTGGGTGCTTGTCATCTTCCTGCAGCAGATCCCTCCCTGTGTAATCTTCGACTCTGTACCTTGCGGATTGGGTGTGGGAAAACTCATGATTGCAATTAGTAGTGATAATTCGATGTGGGTTTTGGAAAAGAAGGCACCTCTGGAGTTGGTGGAAGGAGAAAAGGGAATTGTAGGAGCATCCCATGGGTGGGTAGCTACTTTGAAAGACGGAATAGTGTGTCTCCAAGATGATCTCAACCCAAGCGCATCGAATTCAGACCCGAAACGCATCTCATTGCCTAGTCTAGTAACTCTACCTCATTGCCAAACCCAAGTTGTCACCAATATGGCCATGTCTTGCTCATCTCCTGAAGAAGATGACTGTGTTGTGGCTATAAAGTTCTTAGGACCACAACTCAGCTTATGTAGACCCGCTCCCCATATTTAACCAGATACAACGAGATAAACAGTATATCTTTTTCAAGATATAAAATAAATAAATCTTATTGACAAGTAGATTTTTTTTTTTTTTTTATTTGGTGACAAATAAATCTAGTTGTCACCAATATTGACAAGTAGATTTTGGTTTAAAAATACATTAAAATTTTCTTATAGAACATTTCTGTTTCGTTTAGTTTCGTTTAATCTTTTGGTGTATATACCAACATCATCAGCCGAATAAACACAAGTGTAAAAATCCACGTGCGCATCAGACTGCCACGTAATCAATCGTAAATAGTTGATTTCGATAGGGATAGTTTCGTATTTTAGCTCTTTTTAAGGGGCAAAAAAAACATTTTTCCGTCCATTGAGGAAGCAAAGGTTTTCGTTATTAATAAATCTGAGAGAGAGAGAGGAACAAGGAGAGAATCTGAAGAAGACGAACCATAAGCGAGAGAGGAGAGCGAGGGAGGTGATCTCTTACCACCTCTTCGTCTTCGCCGGCGAGAAACTCAATCTCAATCGGAGAAGAGAGGACAAAAAACGATACGAGAGATAAAAAGTTGTGCAACGATGTCAAAGAAGAAAGCGGCTGCCATGACGCTTAAGGACTTCCATGGCGGCTCTATACCATCTGATCTCCCTCTCCCTTCCGCTCCTGGAGTGTAAGTCTCCATTGATTCGTTTCCTTTGGATCGCCTCTTAGTTTGTATGCTTATCGGAGATCAATCGAATCGTTGTTTTGCTTTTGTGAGATTCGAGTGATGTTTTCCGGTGGAAATATCTCGTTTATCCCTAGGGCTATTATTAGATCTACATAGAAATTTTCGATTTCTGATTGTTTAGGTCTGTTGTTGTTTATCCGATTGTCTTTTCTGATCGATTTTTCCTTTGTAGGACTCCGAAGGTTATTCCGGATCGACCTGTTTTTGATAGAGCGCCTTGGGGGACTTCAATTGGCAGGCCAGATCAGAGGACAAGGCCGAGTTCGTCTCATGCTATTAGAAATCTCGATGATAAATCACTGTTTCTGCCTCCCAACGTGAATATCGGACGTAATTTCAGTGAGGATGAACGGAAGCCTCTGGATGGTCACTCGGCTCCTCGTAGAGTGGTCAGTGATGATGTTTTTCGGTTTGCGAATAACCGTTTGGAGGTGAAAGCAGACTCGGTTTTAGCTGGGAGACATAGTGGTTGGGCGGCTAGTCCTTTGACTCATTCTGGGACTGGTATTGTTGAGAACTCGGTGTCAGGAACTCACTCTAATGTTTGGAATGGGAGGAAAGAGGTATCAGCTGCTAACAATGAGCCTGGACAGTCTCCATGGACTAAAAAACCAGCTGTTTCTAATTTGGTCCATACAAATGCGCCTGACCAAGTGTCTTCAGGAATATTGCAGTCCAAGCTTTGGGTTCCTCCTCAGATGGGATTTGATGTTGTTAAGCATTCAGAGACAGAAAGCAGAGTTTATAAGACTAATAGCCATGTGCTTGATCAAGGGGATGAGCCACATGGAACACATGTAGAACGGGCACTGATTGCTGAAGATGGGATCCAGGGTGGCAAAAAATTCTCCCGTGAGTTTGAGAAAATCCCTGGTCCAACTTATGTGGATGCTAAGGCAGCGAAAGTTGTAGCAAACACCAACAATAAACATCATCCAAATTATTCTGACGTTAGGCCTGCTGGACATTTGGTGCAGCCAACTGCTCCTTCTGAAGTTGTGGAACGACCTAAGCTGAACCTGCTGCCTCGGAAAAAACCACTTGAAAGCGTGGAGAAACCTGTGAATGATGGAAAACTGGTATTAGTTACAAGTTTGTAATCTGCCACTTTAGTTTTCAGGTTTCTTTTTTGGTCAACTGTGTTTTTTGATGCCTTAGTTTTATATCTGCAGGAAAATTGTGCTTCAGTTCTTATTCAACGTGAAAGTGGTTCTGCGACACAGAAAAGTGTGAACAATTCAAAATTTGGTTTGTCTGCAGATGCTTACCAACCGGCTGAGCGCCCCAAGTTGAATCTGAAGCCTGTGGCACAGTTGCTTGAGCAGCCAGAAATTAAAACCGAAAAGGAAAGGTAAGAATGTGGTACTTACATTTTTTGTCCCAGCTCTGTAATAATAATTTGGAGCTTGGGGACATAAGTATAGTGATATAGAAGAATTGTTCTCAAAATTTGTACTGGCTGATCGCGAAAACTGAAAGGATTATGCTCAATTCAAATTGAAATAGATGCAGATATTGGCTTTGTGTAAACTCCTCAAAGTCCAAGGTGGTAGAATATGCTAGAGCATTGAATTTAGTTCATAGTTATTGTTTCTGTCATTCACTTCTCTAGAATATCGATAGACTACTTCCCTGGCGATAAGTATATATTGATGATTGTGTCTAACACGCTTACAATTTCTGGTTCATGGTGCAGAAGTGCGGTTTTTGGTGGTGCCAGACCACGAGAGCTGGTGAGTGCAGTTTGTTTCATCTTGTTGTATAACTCTCTCTTGCCCATTTGTTCATCATCATTTGATTTCCTGGATAGGTTTTGAAGGAGAGAGGCATTGATGAGACCGAGCATCACATATTGGAGCAACCGATAGACAGGTAGAACGGGTTTCCTCTACCCGCTCATGTTCTGTGTATAATATTTGCGATCCAACACTTACAATTCCATTGAGATCAACTATCTAATTTAAAGTTCTGTTTTTGTTTTTTTCTTTCATATCAAAAGGATGGTCCTCAAACCGATTGAAAGAGCTCCAGAGTATGCAATTCAAAGGCCAGTGAGTTCTCCCCGTGACTTGAGAACGAGGAAATTCGACCAAAAGGACTGGCGAAATGTAAGCGACGTTGCCAGATCCGAAACTCAGAGGAGAAACTGGCGTGAAAATGAAAACAAGAGCTCAAGACAGCAACAGCAGACTCAGGAGAAGACAAGACATCCATCACCAGAGACATGGCGAAAACCAGTTCCCCAGAAACCGGAATCACCAGATGGAACAGGGATTCGTCACGGGAAAACAGCTTCTGCTCTTGAGCTAGCTCAAGCCTATTCTCCTTTCTCTGACCCTAAATCCGGAATTGGAAGCAGCAACAGTTTTAACAAAAGCCGCAACAACCAAACGCAGCAGCAACCCTTCTCTCGGTTGGTAGGATCGACAACAACACCAAGACAGATTAATGGCTACTGAGTCATTGTTCGTTTGTTCTCTTCTTGAATTGGTTTTAGTTCCGACTAATTGGATCTTAATTTCTCGAACACATCTTATGTGGTTTGGGATCGTTATGGGAGATTTGAATGTGATATGTTCCCTTAAGAACGAGTCGGATTACATAAGCCAAATATGGTTACATTGTGTTCTTCATTCTTCTTTGGTTATACATCTTTTTTTAACCGTTCGTGGGAATATTTGAAAATACTTGCACAAGCATAAACACACACATACAGTCGGACACTGTTGTACAGTGTCTTGACTTTTTACTCTTTTCTCAAAGGATTTTAGATATGGCCATGAAAATCACCTCAATAATACTAAGGAACATGAATTTCTCAAAAGGGCAAATCTTTAACGTCAGAAAATCATGAGATTGAAGCACACGAGAAAGTAACTGACATACATATACAAAGAGTCCGCAAAACAAGTAACAATTCTTAATCGTCAATCTTTGTGATTATTATGTACAAAAACTCTATATTTTTATCATCACGTACAATTAACTCTTCATCGTGGGATAAAGGAAACATGTGTGGTTTCCCAAACGCAAAAGAATATGAAATATGATTTAGCTACGGTCACGATCAACTTAGCCGATGTTGAAAAGTCATTTTATTCCTTGGCGAAACATGGTATATCACACTATGTTCGTCAAGGAGATTTGTTGGCGCACTCGGTTCGAACACTACAACCGGAGTATTCAAGTAGTTTTGAATACTCTGATAATTTCATATTATTTTATTCGTTTATGACATTCTAATATTTTTTTATTTAGTAATGTAAATCGCAAGGATTCTGATTTGCATACTTAATTTTTGGAATGGTTTGACAATTTCTCCAAACTGATTGTGCAATGATTCATATTTTCTTACATTATTTTTGTGTATATAATTACAAGTGGTATGTGCACAATCAGTTTGGAGAAATTTCAAACCATTCCAAATATTTAAGTATGCAAATCAGAATCCTTGCGATTTACATTACTAAATTAAAAAAAAATATTAGAATGTCATAAATGAATAAAATAATATAAAATTATCAAAGAATTCAAAACTACCTGAATACTACGGTTGTTAAAGTGTTCGAACCGAGTGCGCAAACAAATCTCCTTGACGAACTTTGTGTGATATACCATGTTTCGCCAAGGAATAAAATGACTTTTCAACATCAGCTAAGTTGATCGTGAACGTAGCTAAATCATATTTCATATTCCTTTGCGTTTGGGAAACTACACATGTTACCTTTATCCCACTATGTAGAGTTACTTGTACGTGATAATAAAAGTATAGAGTTTTTGTACCTATTAATCACAAAGATTGACGATTAAGAATTGTTACTTGTTTTTCTAACTCTTTTTATGCTGTCTTCTTAGAGCGTATGTTGATAAACATATGAGCACACGTAACGATTGTGTGCTCATTGATCAAAATTCCGGATCCTCTAGAGATAGATGCATCATCTTCAAAGAAACATTTTTCAACAAAGAGGTCAACAACACAGGGCCCAACCATTTCACCAATATGTGCAAACCGATTCCTTTGAAGAATTGCTGCTCGTTGTAAGAAACCGATTGCTGAGGGAGGGAAAACGTTTAGGGTTTAGGCAACGACGGCGAAAATAAGTTGGTCGAGTAAACAAGGCTTAAATGGAGTTATGTTATATTTATTTTATGTATAATGGTTTTGATATATTTTTTGTTTGGATTTCTAATTCCTTATAAATCCATGAACCAATAACCTCTCTATTGTAATTCTGTCAAAAATAAAAAATAGTATAAAATTTAATTTTTTACCAAAAAAAAAAGAAAAAAGCTTAAAAGTATAGTCTCCGGACAAAAGGAAAGTAATGGATTTAAGTGAAAACCTCATCTCTCATGATTTAATTCAAAACCTAAACTCTCAAAGCCTACTAAGGGCCCATATCAGTCGACCACAAAGACAGATTAATGGCTACTGCCTACTGAGTCATTTAATCATTATTCGTTTGTTCTCTCGAATTGGTTTTAGTTCCGACTAATTGGATCTTAATTTCTCAACGTATCTTTTGTGGGTTGGGATCGTTATGGGAGATTTGAATGTGATATGTTCCCTTAAGAATGGGGTCGGATTACATAAGCCAAATATGGTTACATTGTGCTCTACATTCTTCTTTGGTTATACATTTTTGAAAACCTTTATTGGGATATTCGAAATTCTTGCACACACATGAGCACACTATGAAGTAAACGTGACTTTGAACTCTTTTCTCAAAGGTTTTTAGATATGGCCATAAAAACCAGCTCAATACTATGAAACATGAATTTCTCAAAAGGACAAATCTTTAAGGTCAGAAAATCATGAGATTTTTTTTTGGTGAAGGGAAAATCATGAGATTGAATCACACGAGAGAGTAACTGACATACATATATGATTTTAGATGGAATTTAAAGGTTCTGCACCACATACACCAAATGTTTCCATACATACTAATATATAAGCCTCTAAAGAGGAAAACACTTTCAGCAGATTTGCATCCTCTTCTAACTGTTGTCTGATTTCTCCAGAGCTGCAAGGAAAAGTATGTGTGTACCAGTAAATAAATCGAAAAAGACAATAGCTCAGAAGAAACACAACATATTGTAGAGTTTGGAGGAGAGTGTACTGTTGTAGTTGAGAAGCTTCTCAATCAGATCAACATGAGTCATGAGCATACGCCTGCAGCAGTATCTGACTAGCTGGAGCGCATCAAGTGCATCCCTGCATACACATTGAGGAGCTTAAACAACAATAAGAGCCACAAAGAATGTGCTCTCAAACAAAACTTGCTTGATGAAGCAAAATCACAAGAAGTGCAAAACCAACACGGATTGAATATCTAGACCCTTCTACAGATGAAAAGAGAATAACAAGTCATCGAGTCTTCACTCATACATATAACAGTCGAGATAGCGAAACTACAAACTAAACAAGATAGGCAAAATAGTCTCTTCCAATAACATATAAACAGCAGATCATTAGCTTAAGCCTATAAACTTAATCGATCCGATTCTCGAATAGCGCAATGGTGTTAACTAATCACATACTTGACGCATTATAAACCATTCTCTCATGTTCAAACAAAGTAGTCTATTTTCACACAAAGTATGATTAGTCCAATAAGAATCATGTGGATGGGCACACGTCTAATCAGAAGCCATTAAGTTTCACTTCTAACAAGTGTCTATTGGATAGCAAATCTAGATAGGCACAAAGAGATTATATACTAGGCAGGACACAGCCTCTTCCAAATGACACAATAAAACATAAACAGGAGATTATAACAAGCTAACTCATTCATCAACAAATCTCTTAGATAGCTTATTTTTCTCAATTAGAGAAGTGGTGTTGAATAATCTGAAACTTCACTTATTATCTGCCTACATCAAACGACAGAAGGAAAACGAAATCTGGGCTAATATTCTCTCTAAAACACAAAGAAATTACTCTCTTTTTCACACAAAAGTATGATGATTAGAGCAGCAAGAAGAGAGAAACATTGTAAGCTTACCCTTCAGTGTAGTCGAGCTGGAGAAGATCAAGATACTGATCCCATTTGTTTCCAATCACCTAAACCAATCACAAAGTGAAAGCTCAATACTTTTTATCGACCGAGATTGTATCCATCCAATTAAAAACATTCGTGTCAAATTCAGAGAGTAAAGATCTCTTCTTAGCCAAATTTAGAGTAACTAAAAACCCTATAAAGACGGAGTAAACACCTAAATAAGACCACAGCGCAGGAAAAAACAAACCTTTCCACAAGTGAAGCAACGAACAGGGATGATCATCTTGAGCAAACTAAAATCTGTACTTGGTCTCTCTCTCTGCTAGCGATTTTAGGGTTTATTGTTTCGTGCTTCTTTAAAAAGGTGAAGAACAACTTTGAGCTAACTGGGTTAAGGGTTAGGGAGGGCTTCCCCCAAACGACGACGTATTTGTGCGACGAGGCTTTTCCAAACCAAACGATGTCGTATTAGTAAGAATCTGATTGACCACAAAGTCAAACCCCTCCTCACTTGCCTTCCGGTTCTAAATTTGTGTCCGGTCTGATTCGGTTCTGTTATTCGATTTTTGGAGCTTAGAAGAAAATTTGTGTATGGAGCTGAATGATACCAACTTTATATACATTGAGACATTTATGAAATAAATTATGGAGTTCTAACTTATTTACGATCATATGCCATTGACATTAATTATTTAGATTTTCAAAATTAAATAAATATATTAACATAAAAAATTATTTACAAAAATATTAACCTAATATATTAAGCATAACTAATCCTTGCTACAATTACATCCATATTCAATTCGATTTCCTTAAAAGATCTCAACAATCCTTACATTCAATCGTGGTCATTCAAATCTTAATCCGGTTTTTAATCTTCAATCATGACCGTCGGTCATAAGCAAATAATTCAGAAATCATTATATAGAATTAATTATTATTAACTAAATTAAATATATATATATATATAATCAAACTTTTAAATTGACTCGAATTATATGTCTATTAAATAAAATATTATTAAAAATAACAAAATGATATTTAATTTCACGGAACGGGGTTATATAATGGGACGGGTTTGGATCGTGTCCCGTATTAATATCACAGATGAAATATTAAAATTAACAATCAAAATACAATTATACAATCTTAAACACTTAACCAAATAAACGATATTAAAAAAATACACTTTAAAATTTAATTTTTTAGTTAAAAAATCGACCCGCGGTACACCGCGGGGTAAAATCTAGTTATACTAGGAATTAAGAAACTTTAAACACACTAAAACCAGTCGGGCTCTTAAAACGGATGATTAGGACTTAGGAGGAAGTAGCTTGAGCTAAATGTTGGTACCTTCTAAGATAGATTTTGGTACCTCTCCCCTGGTAAATTTCCCGAACAGGATAATAAAAGCGCGCACACACACACACCAAACACGTTTTAAAGACATTTCATTGTTTGTTAACTTTTTTTTTCTTTATCATTTACTAGAGAAATATATCCAACCTAACTATGGTCTATTCCAATATTGCTTTGGTTTTATTTATTTTTACAATATAGTAGTGGTGTTTTCTTTTTGAAAGCTCCAATAAGAAAAATGTTTTTGGATATGAATTTAGAGACTCATTCATTGGTAAAACAAATCTACAAAGATGTATGTAATTGTGTAACCTACTAATATAAGAGAGATCATATCCTGATTTTAACAAAGAATAAAAGGCGACTTGATCATTGTATTTATATTAGAGAATAGGGTTATCAAAATTAGGGTTTGGAAAATGTTGAACTTGCGCCGAATGGTATCAGGTTCTCTTCATCTCTGGAAGAGAGAGATGAAGATTTCTACGCCTATGAGAACAACGGCTCCGTTTTCTTCTTCTTCTTCTGCTGCTGAGAACGCGAGTACTCCTCCATTGACGATAGAAGCTCCGTCTTGTGATACTGAGAATGCAAAGAGCAGTATTTTCGAGAAGCTGCGGTCTCTTACCCGTGAGACCTTAGATTTCATCATCAGGGAGGAAGAGAAGAAGGGTGTTTCCGTCACGCAGGCGGATCTCGTCAGCTCGGCAAAGCAGCTTCTCATGGAAGGCAAACGTCTAGATGCCCTCCAGGTCTATCTCATCAATCTAACATTTGAATTCATCGCTTTCTTTTGATTGTGTTACAATTTATGAATTTTTATTTTTTATTTTTTGGTTAGATCTTTATGTGGATCTATAGAAAGAAGATGAGTTTTTCTACCTCAGAGCTTGCGCTTTTTGTGGATAACATTGCTAGGACTATAGGCTTACCTACTGCTCACGCCTACTTGAAGAAAGTAGACCCAGACTGCGACCGAATGCACAATCCTACCGAGAATTGGCCTGCTTACGTAGATCTCCTGCTTTTGGATACTGAGCTTTTAGAGAAACGCGGGATAGTTCCAGCTGTTCGAAACACTCCCCCTCGCCCTCGCAAGTGAATGATTAACTATTAGATTGGTGTTGTGTGTGTGTGTGCGCGCTTTCTTATGTACTCTTTGCCTTCTCTTTTCATCTCTTGTCGAATACCTCTTTCATGGTTTGCTATGAAATAACAATAAGAGCCTCTGAATTTGAAATCATGTCATGTGGTTTTTTTTTTTGGTTTTGCTTTTTTTGGTTAGATCTATAATTTGAGTGGATGGATAAAGAGAAGATGATTCTTTCTCCCTCGGAGCTTGCTCTTTTTGTGGATATCATTGCTAAGACTTAAGGTTTAGCTGCTGAAGACTACTTCAAGAAAGTAGACCCAGACTTCGACCGGATGGACCATCATTCCAAGAATTGGCCTGCTTACGTGACTCTCCATCTTTTGAACCGTGAGTTTGAAAAAAATTCTGGAAGGCTAGCTGTTCGTTACTATGGCAATGGTGTTTTACTGAATGATTAACTATTTGTTTGGTGTGTTTGTGCCTTCATTAATTAATCTCTTGTCGAAAACAACAAATTTCAAGGGAAATAACAATTACATATCGTTACAAGAATAATCTCTGTGTGTATAGTTTCATGCCCGAGTTCATTACCTAATTTGCTTTGGTTATGAAATTACATTATTTGTATTTGTGTTTGGGATTGATTTTCTATGAAAATGTGTTTTTTTTTTTCATGGTTTATTTTACAGAATTAGGTTTTAAGTCGTTGAATTTGATTCAATTCAATTTTGAAATTTCGTGTGTGAGGAAATTTAAACCAAAAAACTATGGTTATTTATTCCATTATATATTTTGCAGTTCAATGCAAAATGGAATCATTGATATACATATATATATATAATTAAGGGAGATATATCCCCGGTTTAACAAATAACAAAAAGTCGTGTGTATTTTTGTATTAACGAATAGTTAGGTAGGTTGTCAAAATTAGGGTTTGGAAAATGTTGAACTTGCGCCGAATTGCAGGAGGTTCTCTTCATCTTTGGAAGAGAGAGATGAAGATTGATACGCCTATGAGAATAATGGCTTCGTTTTCTTCTTCTACTGAGAACGCGACTCCTCCATTGACGACAGGAGACAGAGCTTCTTCTCCTTCTGCTGCTCATGAGAGTGCGAATAGTAGTATTTTCAAGAAGCTGGGGTCTCTTATCAGTGAGACCTTAGATTTTATCATGAAGGAGGAAGAGAAGAAAGGTGTTTCCGTCTCTCATGAAGATCTCGTCAGTTGGGCAAAGCAACTTGACAAGGAAGGCAAACGTGAATATGCACTCGAGGTCTATCATCTTCTCAATCTAACATTGTCTTTTAAAATTTTTTATTTTGTTTTACGATTTATGAATTTTTTTCTTTCTTAAAAGATCTTTATGTGGATGGATAAAAAGAAGATGAGTTTTTCTACCTCAGAGCTTGCACTTTTTGTGAATGTCATTGCTAAGACGAGAGGCTTAGATGATGCTCACGCCTACTTGAAGAAAGTAGACCCAGACTGCGACCGAATGGACCAACCTAACAAGAATTGGCCTGCTTACGTGTCTCTCCTGCGTTTGGAGACTGAGCTTTTAAAGAAACGCGGGATAGTTCGAGCTGTTCGCCCCCTCGCTGTCGCAAGTGAATGATTAACTATTAGTTTGGTGTGTGTGTGTGCGCGCTTTCTTATGTACTCTTTTGCCTTCTCTTTTCATCTCTTGTCGAATATCTCTTCATGTTATAAGCCTCTGAATTATGCATCTCTTCTTAATTGTGTGACCTCTTCATATGTTTTGCTCTGAAATAACAATATGCCTCTGAATTTGACATTTTGTCATGTGTTTTTTTTTTTTTTTGGTTAGATCTTTGAGTAGATGGATAAAAAGAAATGATTTTTTCTCCCGCAGAGCTTGCTATTAGTTTATATATCATTTACCTATGGCACTTGTTAACTTTTCTAAAAATTAAAGTCCATATCACATAAATTATCCTTTCAGACTGTTTTAGCAACATACAAACTCAAAACCACAACACATTTAGAAGCAACACAAAAAAAACAATCCAAGAAACAGAGTTTTTGAAACTAAACAATAATATGAGGCTCGTCTTAATATAATTGTTGTGAAACACAATAATACAACACTAATATTTAATTTTGGTCTTCGTTATTCATCCGAGAAGACAATGTAGTTATGCTTCCATTTCTTTGTTCTTACCCCACAAGAACACGTAGAGACCTATTATTGGCCCAACTGATCCAATCAGACTGTGTAGCAAAAGTTAGAAAAAAAAACATGTAATTAGTGTTATAAGCATGGACCTGCATACATTTACATATATAAAGCTATCTAGAAACTAATTTAATTTCATAGAGTTGATCGAAGAAAGCACCTTCCGAGGTATAAAGGAGTGTGTAAGATTAGGAAATCGAATAGAGTAGCCGAAATGAGAGCAATTGGCATAATTGCTGATACGAAAACAGCTCCTAATTGTTTTACTCCCCATGTCACCGATACCGTTGACATTGCTTGTCCTATCACTCCCTATATGGTAAGAGTAGTTTAACCAAGTTATAGACAAAATTTTCAACTTTTTGACATTGTTTAGTATAAAACAGAGACTAAGAAAAGCTCTACTAGTTAAATTTATAGTGGTTATTGAATTAGAAAATTTTATCTGAAGATACTCAAAGTTACCCAATATGATTAGTGAAACATAGGATATCATCAACTTAGTGGGGGTTAGGTTAATTTGATTAATATTAGGTAAACCCCAAAATTTATTTATGTTTTTACATATTAACTTTATAATTTATAAATTTTCAGGTTTATAAAGATATAATAATAGAACTTACAGCATATACGATGACACCGATCACAAATCTATCATCGATGATCCAATCTTTAACATCTCTACTCTTGTAGAGACTCAATAGAGCACACTGAAAAGCTGCGAAAATTGACATGAGACAAGTGCTTGAGAATTTGCAAGGGTACTTGATGCTTAAAGTCCCTTGAAACAAAATCCATAGAGATATCAACACGGTTCCTATGGTTAAGTAGAGACATCCAAGAAGCCAATTTTTGGTGTTGTGATCGCTTTTGTTGTGAGAAAGAGCCTCTTGGTGAGAGTGAGAGTTTGATATATGAGGGCCTTTGTAAAATGCCAAGAACAAAGCTCCACTTATACATATTAAAGTTCCCATCACTTTTATCATTCCTGCTTGGGTCTTTAGACTTTTTATTTTTTCAGTCCTGAAAAGTAATATAGTTTTATATCAAAATTTAGATAGAATAATTTAATTTTATTATCAAAAAGGAAAAAAGAAAGAAGGAGAAAATAGAAGTTTAAATCGACTTAAAAGGGAAAAAAAAAACATAATATTATTTTAAACTCAAATGATTTGATTAAACGAGCTGAGCCACGTTTTAATAGTTTCCGCATCATTATCAAAGTTTATAAAAATTAGACGTCTAGCTATAACATTGTATACATAACAAAGTTAATTAATCCTACCTCTACGAAGATGTCGAAGAGGTAAGGGAAAGTTAATCGCTGCATCCACAAAGAAACGTGAAAACCTAAAATCAAATCTTTTAGATGACATGACATGATTTTTAAGAGATGAGAATGGTGACGTGGCAACTTATAAGATAATAGTTTAAAAAGCTGATGTGGACATCTTGAGAGGCCTCAATTAGTTTTTTTTATTAGTAATAGATTTTCATGTTAACAGTTAGACGTAAATTTTATGGGAAAAAATGTCAGTAAACTTCATATTTTAGTAACAAATACTAGTGTTTATTTATTTTACATGTTATGATGTTAAAGTAGAGAATTCTCACAATCTTCGATTGTATTGGCCTCAAGACGTACGTTATTTTTATAATAAATGTTGATAAGTGATATCATCAAAATCTTGAAAATTTTCGCCTTTTTTTTTTTCAAAATTTAATATGAGAAAATTGTTGTCAAGTCTTTATTTAAAAATATAAAGAACTCAACTACTTCATCTAAAAATCAAACCTTTCCAAAATATAGGCGATAGGAGCCAGAATGAAAGAGGAAATAGCCATTCGATAAGCACCAACGATCATATGGTTCACACCAACATCAAGAGCTTTCTTCACAAGTGCATTCACCGAACCCATCGCTACTTGAGATATTAACATTACTATAATCGGTGGCCATTTTGAGACTACTTTCTCTCCTCGCATATCCTCACCCATCTCTATTTCGTCCTCGCTTTCTTTCTACGTGAGTTTGTGTGTGTGTTAGAAAGAACTAAAACCCAATGTGCTTTGAGTTTGGCAACCACAAACCTTCCCGTATATATAAGAAAGTGTGTGTATGGGTTCTCTCATTTTAATAGAAAATGTCGGACCAAATCCTACAGAAGCTTAGCCGATTTGGTCCGGCATTTTCCGCGGCTGCTACTTGATTTAGTCGCCGTAACCGCCGACCCGGAATTCTTCTCTTCCCCCCCCCCCGAGTTTTAGCCATCATCAGTCGGAATTTTAACAGAGGGAAGCGAGAGAGAGAGATTGAGATTCTAGGGTTAGAAAATGAAATCGATGTGTCTAAAATGGCGAGTCAAACAAACTTCGCTAATTAATTGTAAAGTCAACAAAAACTTTATGATTTAAATGTCTTTCATCGTAGTCCAAGATTAAATCGTCCCAAATTTGAAAGTTCATGATTTTTTTGACATTTTTCCCTATATATATATATATAAACTTTCTTTTCATAATAGCATAAGCGTTTGTGAAGAGGGAACAAAGCACAAACCCGAGCATATTTTACTAATGGAATAAATCATTAACTATTTATTTAACTTTAAGTTTAAGAAGTCGTCGCAGATATAATTGCCGCGGTAAATTTTTTTTTTTCCGGTCAATGTTGCGATATATAATTACGATTGCCTCTACTGTTTTTTTTTTTTTTTTTGTTTTTTTTTGTTTTTTTTTTTTAAAATATAGTAGAAATGAGACACTGATACATTGGCTTTTATATCACACGTTTCGTGAGACGCCCATAAATTAGTTTTTTCATAAATTAGCTTTCCATTTTATACGTTATATGAGTCACCGATACATTGGCGTTATCATGCACCCGTGTCATCTGCCGGGCATCTTATAAATTAACGAAATGATTTTCACAAAAGAGAGTTAGATCTAGAGATCTGGGAACTGAGTCGAATGAGAAAAAGAAGTCATGCAAATGAAGTAATAAAGTGTCGGTGTATCTAACTAAATCTATACTTAGTGTAATCTAACGACACTTAAACACTTGTAATCTAGTGACACCTTAAACATTTGCATGCTCGTATGGACAGGGTTCAAGTTTTGGTTCTTTACTTGGAGTGACTTAATTGAACTCGCATGTTCACATATGGTAATGATATTTGCACTATTGGATCCGAGCAATTAATTGGATTGATTTACAAACATGACTTAGAGCATTGAAAAATTTGGTCCCAATGGGTTGCTACTTGCTAGTCTCGGTGAAATAAACTAAATTATTATGATTCCCCCCTCTACGATGACCATTTTCCAAATCCAATGTCATATTGAATTCAGATTCGATATGATGGAAAAAATAAAAACTTTTCAACGAAACAAACTAATCATAATTATATGAGATTTTGCAACTCTCATTCAATAATTCTCCATGTTATTGTTCCCATTTTGGATTCGATCCCCTTTACGCTTTGTCCTTTCATTGGATCCATGCACTATCTCGTTTTTGTTAATTATAAATGTATATAATTATTGTTATGGAGCACATTTTAATTTTCAAAGTTAATGAATAAAATTATATTATACAGTTTTTTCTTCCAATTTGGGTATCGAAATCATGCCTTTCTTTATTTTGTCCGTCGAACTTTGTAGTGACGAAAAGCAGATACTATTCTAGATTTAGGTAAGGCTTAGAAAATAATGGACTACTCTACATAACACTATTACAATTGGTCTTAATTTTTTATACACCTTAAAATTCTGACTGTTTTAGCAACAGGCAAAACACAACACATTTCAAAATAATCAAAGAAATAGAGCTTTTGAAACTAAAAACAATATTATGAGGCTCTTTTTAACAGATTTGTTGTGAAAAGTTATGATTTGTATGGATTTGCACAAAAAAATGATTTATATGGATTAGTTTTGAATATAATTACAAATCTGTTTTGTTATCTATTTTCGAAATTATTCTGAGTTGAATAGAATGGCGAATAAATCTGCAAAAGAAAGTACAGTTAAACCTTTATAAATTAATAATGTTGGGACCATGATATTTTATTAATTTATAGTGATATTAATTTATCTATAAATTAATATTTATTAATTTATAATGTAAATTAATATTTATTAATTTATAGAAAGTTTTGTTTTCATTGTTGAATTTTTTTTAAAAAAATATGAGGAAAACAATGTGATCGAAATAAAATTAATGTTTTGGATGTTATAAATTTTATATTTTTAGACTTAAACATTTAATATTTCGAAGAGAAAACAAATATTTTTTACAATGAATAACAAAGAATAGATTTTACATATATAAACGATATATATAAATTAAAATTTATAAATAATGACATCTATAGTTGTATTTGAAAAACCTACGATTATTAAAACAAAAATGATGCATATTCTAAAACTTGAAAACTTAAAATAAATTTGGGAGACTCACAAAAATGCCCCTTTTTCAATACCCCTTTTAAAAAATGCCCCCTTTGGCTGTCCATTTTTAAAAATACCCCTTTTTATGTACAAAATGACTAAATTACCCTTCTTTTAATAAAAGATATCACAAATATATAAGGAAATATAACAAAATTAGGTCTACAAAATACAAAATATTTTTTGGCGGGAA